GCTGGAGGACAGCAGGGTGGCTGCGTTCCATGTGTGTGCTTCTGGGTGTTGCCACCCCTAACCCTGCTGTCCTCGCTCAGCAGCAGTGCCTTCCAGAGGTGGATTTAGATGATTGCTCAGCAAAGGGCTGCTTGGGTTCAAAGTTCCTCCAAGCATTCTCGGAGAAGGAGATTGGTGACATCAATTTGTCTTCTCCTTTTGCCGAGGAGGTCTGGTTTGTTTAATGAGTTGTTTTCAGCTGGATCGCAGGGAAAAAAGCAAAGCTCTATTTGCATGCCTTTGTTTTTTGGAATGGCAGAGGTTACAAAAACTTCCTTCCCCTCTGCCATGTTAAATATTGCTCTTTACAAAACATCACGTTGTGTAACAAACCCCCTGGGCTTCCTCGGGGGCTTGGGAACGGCGTGCCAGCAACATTCCTGTGGTGTTTGTGCTCCCTCCTGGAAAGGCAAAGCCCCAAACACACAGATGAGAAAAAAAACAATATATTTGGCTTTGACCAAAAATATCTCTTTTACTATCTTGTCTGCCTTCGTGGGACACCCAGCCGGGGTGCTCCGGGTTGCTCATGGGACTGTCCCCATCCCCTGGGAGATGTGGGAGGAGGATTGATTTATTCTCACAGCTCATCAGTGGGGAGCGATGATTAGAGCTGCTGTTTGCAATTTGGAAGAATTATGAGTTATCAAAGCGGCTGATAATTAGCAGTGAATAAAATGTACTCGCAATAGTATTACATTAGTTACAGATAAACTGATACCAGGCTTCCTTAATGTTCACTTAAGCTCTCTTGCTCCTGGTTCTTAGGGGGAAGTTCTGCTGTCTCACTGCAACAGGAGAACCCTTCCAGTTTGCTGTTGTCGTCTTGCAAGATGCTGTTGGAGCAAAAACCTGATGAACAAATGCTGATTTCTTTTCTATCTAGGGATGAACCTTCCCTTCCCCATTCCTGCTGCCATAGCTACAGGCTGTGTGGACGTGGGAGGATGCAGTGTGGCAGGAGGCAGATGGGAGATGCTCAGTGTGGGCACTGGGAGCCCCAGACCCTTGCTACCCCCCTCTCCACAATGGCTGTCCTGGACCCCAGGTGTATTTGGGTGGACATAATGCAGGATGTGGGGCTGGGGCTGGTAGGCTGAGCCCCCTGGGAAAGCTGTGGGGTAGAGGTGTGGTCCTGCTGGGCTGAATGATTATGGGATTGATTGTTTTATTGGAGGCTGAAAATATGGCTGTGCTCAGATCCAGACCCTGTGAGTTGGTGCTGATAGGGCTCCAAAGGGCTCATGGTGTGATGCCTGGGAAAGGTGATCCCCACCTGCTGCTGGATAGAGCTCAGTCCTGGGGCTTCAGTAGGATGAGAGATCGTGGCCTCATGTTGCACCAGGGGATGTTCAGGTTGGATGTTAGGAAACATTTAGTCCCCAAAAGAGCAGTCAGGGATTGGCACAGGGAGTGGTGTGGTCACCATCCCTGGAGGTGTTCCATAACCATGGGGATGTGGCACTGAGAGATGTGGTCAGTGGGCACAATGGGATGGGTTGGGGTTGAGCTTGAACATCTTGGAGATCTTTTCCAACCTTAACAATCCTGTGATTCTGCAGGGATGGGGAGCAGGGGTTTAGCTGGGAGCTGTCTGTTGGGATTAGGGTTTGGGCTGGGTTTGTAGACCCCAAGATCTTTGTGTAACCACCAGGGCCATGCAAGCTCATGCTGTGCATCCCATGCATTTATTTTTTCCATGCGTCATCTTTTCTAGCATGGTTTTGCTCTCCTGGCAGTGCAGCTGGCAGCTCTCTGCGGGTGGCTCTGATTGCTGCCTCTGGTTGTGCCTGCTCTGGTTCAGGCGTTATGAAACCTCAGCCAGCTGACCTCTAGGGGGAAAGTGCAAGAAATCCTGAGACACCTCCATGTCTTGCAGTGTAGTTAGCAGAGCTGACCTGGCTCTCATTAGCAAGCCTGAGAAGAATTGGCTTTGAAGTGCTTTTCTGTTGCCCTGCCTGTTATTGCTGGTCTGTTATTAATGGTCTCCAAATTAAAATGCAAACCAAGATGTACCTGAAATACTTGAAGACCCACAAGCTTGCATATGAAAACAAATTTGGCTTTCTCCTCCTTATGCAGGACTGTGTGGCTGTGCTGGGAGCTGGGGTTGTGCAGAGCTTGGGGCTGCCTTGCTCTGTCCCTCACAGCTCTCTGTCTCCACTGCTGCCCACCCCTCCTGGTGCTTTTCCTTTCTGTTACCACTTTCTCTCTTTTAATAAGCACGAACTGAGTGCCTCTGGGCACCATCAAGACCTCGCTTATTACCCTCTCTTATTTGTTCCTCTGTGTTAGCTCCTGGACAAGTTAGAAACGTTTATTTAGTTTTAAAATCACATCATAAAATCCATCTCATTTCTTTTTCCCCTCGAAATGCTTTCTGCTGCTGGCTGATGGATGGCAGTCTGTGTCCGTGGAGCTGCTGAGGCATTGGCTGGGCAGCATCCAGCATGGCAATGGGTTGGCAGCACCCTCAGGTTCCGTACTGACTGATCCCCACCAAGCCAGAGCGTTGTTTTGTCATCCTGATTTCTTCATTAATTTGTTCTCCTTTATTGGTTGTGTGGGGAAGGAGCAGGTTGTTTCTTAAAGGCATCGCTCTGTTGTGTTGCTGTTAAACTTGGCTCTGCTGGCAGCTGGTGCAGGAGGGCAGATTGGCAGCATGGGGGCATCTGAGATGCTGTGGTCCAGGGCCTGACCCTGCTGTGTGGTGAGAGCTCTCCTTCAGCCACCATACGGCTCTGTGCTGATCCCTTCGTTATGATCTCTTTGCCTTGCAAGGACACGGGGAAAAAGAAAAGCCTGTCCCTTACAGCAGGGCCAGGGGGCTGTTCTGCCCATCTGTGGCGTGGGTCCCTCTGGGGAGCTGGACTGGGATTGTGGGTGCTGCTGCTGATCTGCTCCTTTCCCACACTGTGGCTGCTGCAGGTGAGGGTTTCACACGCCAAATGGGATTTCCCTGTTGCGGGGCGTGAGCTGCTTCTATGCTCTCGGGCACCTCCTTGGCTTTTCATTGCATATACAGTGGAAATTGACTGTTCTCTGCTGCCTGTAAGGACGCATATTTCCTCTGAACACAATCGGCCATGAAATCCTAACAACTTTTCTGCTGCAGCTCTGCAAACAGAAGCGAGGGCCGTGGGGATTCCTGTGCCCAGAATAGTTTCCTCCCAGCTCCGCAGGTCTTCCTGTGCCTGTCTCCCGTTGCATTTGGGCTTTTGGAAAGTAATCAGCCCCCGTGGTTATTTCAGTTAACGCTAATTAGTGGCACAAGCTAATTAATGTGGGTTGACTTCCCTCTTCTCTTTCTAATGCTTTTTTAACCCATTGACACATTCCAATTAAGGGACTCATGCGGGGACCAGACTGAAATGACTCACAGCGATCGCAGTTGGAAGAACCGTGTGCTTTCCTGAAGGTCACTCATATTTTTTCCAATTGATAGAGTTGTGTGTTTGTGCTGCCAGCAGGGAGGTGACCTGACCTTACAATAAGCATCTTGAAATACCTTCGAGTTTGCGTTTCCTTGCATGGAAGCGGAGCTGCGGGTACCGTGTTGATAATCATTGGCTGTGCAGCAAATAGCTGTGGGATGCTGCTCTGCAGGACTGCAAATGTGGAGGCAAGCGGTCTGACCTCAGGAGGACTGTGCTGGTGGAACCTCTTTAACTTGAGCTGCAGTTGTTTGGGTGGTTTGGTGGCTCTGTGCACGGGCAGGGAGAGCATGCTAAAGGCAAGCCTGTGAACTGCCATTCTTGTTCTCTCCCTATCATATGCCATAGTGCTGAAGCTGTGCCACGTCTCCTGGTCACCAGCCATCCAGGGGTTGCTGCAAATCGCTTCTATTGTTGTAGAATCATTAAGGTTAGAAAAGCCAAGATCCCCCAGCCCAGCCATCCCTCAGTGCCACATCCTCACAGTTCTGAACACCTCCAGAAATGATAACCCCCCGCTCCCTGCACACTTGTGCCAGCTGCTCTTTTGGGGAAGAAATTGTTCCTGCTCAAGCAGAGCAGCAGCCCCCCCCCTCCAACAACCTGCTTCCAGGTGCTGGGTTAGAGGAGGTGAGTGCACCCTGATTAAACTGCAAGAGAAGGCCGGCAGCGAGTGTGTGATTAGTATTAATAGCCCAGGTCAGACAGTATTATGCAAATACTGGGAGAAGAGACGACTGAGTTATTCATCTTTAACCTTTACTTTTGTTTAACACGACCTTACTCAGCGAGGCTCCCATTACTGCTGCGGGCTGTTCAGTGCATGTCCCTTCCTTCTGCTGCCACCAGCACAGAGTTCAGCCCGTGCTCCTGCCTGGTGACATCCATCCCTGTGCGTGCCACTGCTGCTGGCTGGGAACCATGAAGCTCCAGGGGGAATGAGCAGCCTGGGGCAGAGCTCAGTGCCACGTGTCCCAGAGCACAAACAGGGCTGTTAGGATTCCTTTGGCTGATGCTCTGGCACGTCCCCAATCGCAGCAGGTTTGTGTGAGCCTTGCATGGGTTGGCAGGGCTCAGGGTCCCTCTCGCTGTGTGCTCGGCTCCCTGCAGACTTTGCACGTAGCTGGATGTGTTGATTTTGGCCATCTCATGCTGTTTTTTTGGAGATTACAAGTGCTATAGGGATATACTCCAGCTGAGTCTGGAGTCTCACAGGGCCTTCTGGCTCTGGAAATAACACTGGGTGGTTGTAAACGTGACATCTCACTTAAATGCTGAGGAAACGGGTTCATTTTGGAACATACTGTTTCCCTTGCAAACCCAATGCAAGCTGAAGAAATGAGACCCCAGCGCCAACCCGTTGTTGGGGTCAGCAGGACTGGGTCACCAACCCCTGCACACATATGAGCTCGTTGTCTCCCAGGCATTCCCAGCCATGCAGATGCTGGAGCAGTCCCTGGGGACAGGGCTGGCAGAAAGCCAATGGGAAGACGTGGGAAAAGCCTAAATTTGCTTCTTGCATTGCAGGGTTTCAGCGGACCCCCCTCCACCATGTTTGCCTTGAGCTGCGACCCGCGAGCGGCGAAAGAGAAGTGTGAGCAGGATCCTGCCTGCTGGCCAGACCATGAGAGCGAGCTGTCCATCCGGATAGGTAGAGCTGGGCACCATCCAGGCAAGCATCCTGTCATATACCACCCGCAGAGCATTTGGGATTGCCCTTCTTAAGCTGGCACCCAGGCTGTAACGTATGTGATTGACATTGGCTCGGTTTTGACACGTGCGTGCGAAGTGCACCTCTTCTTCCCTTTCTGGGTCTGCCTCTGTGCTGGCTTTCATTCCAAGAATCATTATTTGTTTCTACTTCACTTCTCAAAACCACTTGCACGTCTGCCTGTGGCTATGAATTATTGATAATTAGATATCTAATTCACCGGGGAAATGAAATCATCGGCTCAGCCTGACATGAGTTTACTCTGAGCGTGGGCACAGCCAGCACTGCCCTGCCCTTGGTGCTCAGTGCCATATGGAGGTTCCTCCTCCGCTGACCCTCGGTGCCCTCCCTAATTACAGATGAGAGCCGACGGTCGTGCTGTCACTCCTCATTTTGGAGGCTAATAGGATTTCAGCTGCCAAAGCGAGGAGTGAAGTGTCTCCTTGGCAGCTCTTTTCCCTTTGGAGAGCTTTTAAAGAAGGAACTCCCAGTTCGGAGTGGTGGAAGCTTGCCAGGTTTCCAACATCCGTGGTGTGTGTGTGTGTGTGTGGGGAGGGGGTGCCATGCCCTACGTAAATTCTCTGTGCAGCACAGCTTGCTGTTCTGCTGCACTTCAGCTTTTCTCTAGGCAAAGGAAACATAATTTAGGGAATTAATCTTATTGCCCCTCTGCTTTATCTTGGTTGGAGATAGGGTGAAATGCTGTTTTAGTTGTCTGTAATTGGGTGCGGGCTGAGATGAGGAAATGATCCTTTTTGCAAAGAATAGCACTATCCTCATACACCAGGCTCTGTTATTTAACAGCATTGCTTAATTGCATGTTTCATAAAATGTTTCAAATCTGTGGATTCTTCAGGATTTGAAATGCCAGCTTGCATTTCCCCAAAGGGAGGGAGGCAGGGAAGCCCTGTGCTGAGCACAGTGTGCTGGGGGGCTCCCAGAACAGCCTGAGGGCTGCTCCAGCATCCCCTCTGTGGGGCTGCTGTGGGGTTTTGATGTTCAGTGGAGTGGAAACTCCATCCCAGGGACAGAGGAGAAAGCCCAGAAATTGTCACAAACCTAAACCACTACGGTTTGATGTTTTCATCTTCTTTCATAGTTACAAATAGTGCAAACGGTTTTGAGAATTGAAAATTTCCATCAGGCTCTGGGATTTTTTTCTCTCTCTGGGGGAACAGCATTAAGAATCTACAATGCATTAATTCTTCTGTTTGTTTCTTGCTGCTTTTTTGCCTGCTTGGTGTGCTCACGAGGTACGTGGAGCCTTCTGAGGAGGCAGCTCTCCCCAAGTACTGCTTGGCTGGGCTCCTGGGAACACTTTGGAAACATAATGGGTATTTTTGAAGTCTAATGGGTACGAGCTGCAACATTTCAGCCTTAATCGCTGTTGAATCATTGACCCTTATTTCATATTTACATGCTTGAAAATCGCTAAAGCTGTGAAAACAACAACAACAGCAAAATCCCAAAGCGCAGCGCTGCGTTGTTCTGCAGTTGTCTTTGCTGGTTGTAGGGTGTGGAAGTGCACAGACCCACCAGGCTGGGCTCTGTGGACGTGGGGCTGGGAACCCCTGGCCTCAATTCTTCCCCATCCAGCTGCTGACTGCTCAATAGCTCCCTAGGAAGGGGGCTGCCCTGGAGGTGTAGCAGGTGTTGATGTGGCTCCAAATGAGATTTGATGGCAGTTGATAGAGAGTTCCTCCTGCATGCATGAAGTGGGACGTGAGTACCTGCATGTCGATGTGAAATGGAGTATAGGGAGATTTGTGTGAACTGCAGAGAAATATGTGTCTAGACTCAGTGTTTGGTGAGTGAGATAATCTCTGGGCTTCAGTTACTATAAATCTAGCCTTGTCTTTGCTTTCTCAGGGTGGGAAATGGTGGTAAGCTGTTTCTCTCCCTCCCTGGGATCAGGTTGCGATAAGAATGAGGAGGTTTTTTTGGCTTTGCTCTGCACATACAAAGCCCTTCAGAGTGCTGCCCCCACCCCAGCTCTGTGGGTCCTCGTGTTTCCAAAGCACAGGAACACTTCCAGCAGATCACTGTGGGCTGTGCTCCCTTCTGCAGGTTGAGAAGTCCAGGTTTGACCCCTTCCATCACAGTTACGTGCGCGGTGTTCTTGGGCAGTTCTCAGAAAGGATTTACATAGGGCATGGCATCCTGCAACCCGAGCTGTGACTCACACTCCTGCAAGCTGTGGCTATGGAGCAGCAAGGCGTGCTGATCCTTCCCCATGTCCTGGTGCAGAGCCATTCATCTGATGGCGGATGGTGACGTTCACAAGCAGCCTCATTCCTGCTCTGATGTTCCCATTGTTGTATCATAGTGAAGGTTCTGTGTCCAAGGAAATGCTTGGATGTTGCCAGTGTGTGCATCCAGCAGCGTGCTGCCAACATGGAGTCATCCCTATGGAGGGGCACCAGGCTTTATGGTAGTGGCTCTGCTGGCTTTCAGAAGGGGTAATGATAGGACAAGGGGGAATGGTGTTAACCTAAACCTCCCCTGTCTCAGTTTAGATATGAGGAGGAAGTTTTCCTCACAGAGGTGGTGATGCACTGAACAGGTTGCCCAAGGAGGCTGTGGATGCCCCATCCCTGCAGGCATTCAAGGCCAGGCTGGATGTGGCTCTGGGCAGCCTGGTCTGCTGGTTGGTGACCCTGCACATAGCAGGGGGTTGGAACTGGATGAGCATTGTGCTCCTTTGCAACCCAGGCCATTCTATGAAATGGCACCGTGGCATTCTTGCACAGTTCAGTGAGCGAATCCACAGGGGAAGAGCAGTTGGGAAAAAGTACTGGTGTGTGAAATAGCGTGCTTACGAAATGAAATTTCATTAAATGTGTTACTTATATGAGCCACGGGACTTGGGGACATTGTAGACAAATCTTGTTAGATGAAAATTGTATTCTTTTTTTTTTTTTTTTCCTCTTAAATTTGAGCTGCTGCAGCAAACCAGCTGCACTGCCAGCGCCAGCCCCGGAGCTGCCCGAGACTCATCAGAGCCTCTCTAATTCTCTGCTTCTTTTCTGAGGGTCATTTTGTCCCTTTCTGCTTCATTTTTTTTTCCCTTCAAAGGCAATTATTGTGTATCAGAGTTGCTGCTGCGGACTGTGCAGAGAGGAAGCAGACCTCGTTCATGCAGCGCAGCTTTCATCAGCACGCGGGCAGTTAAAATCCCGTAATGATGTAATAAACCTCTGATGAAAGGAAGGAAAGTGGCTGCGGAGATGAAAGAAGGCTCCAAACCCCTTAGAGAGTGATTAAAAAGAGAGGGCAGAGGGTGGAGCGTGGGCTTTGTACACCAGGCACAACGTACGTGTGGCTCGCCTGTCACCTGGCTGTGTCCCTGCACCTGGGAAATCCCCTCCTGGCCCCATTTCTCGTGGATTTTGGGGTTGGTGTGTGCTGTGCTCACTGGGATGACTGGAGCTAGTGGGGTTCCTCCTGTCTTGGTTTTCCCCAAGACAGGGAAGGAGCTGGCCCTGTTTATTATCTTAATGTCTTCATTGATGATCTGGGTGAGGGGATTGAGGGTACCCTCAGTATATTTGGCATCAAGCTGGGAGGAAATATTGGTCTGCCCGAGGATAGAAAAGCCCTGTGGAAGGATTGGGATAGGCTGGATCGATGGTCTGAGGCCAGTGGTATGAGCTTCAATGAGACCAAGTGCCAGGTCCTGCACTTTGATCACAGTGTGTCCCTGCCAGCTCGGGGCAGAGCAACTGGAGCACTTATGGAGTCTTATGGAGTGCAGCTGAGGGAATGGGATTGTTCATTCTGGAGAAGAGGAGACTCAGGGGAGAGCTTCTCTCTCTTCACAGCTCCCTGTGTGGAGCTTGTGGTGGGGTGAAGGTCAGCATCTGCTCCCAGGTAACAGATGGGATGAGAGGGAATGACCTTATGTTACATCAGGGGAGGTGTTTAGATTGGATATTAGGAACAATTTCTCATCTAAAAGGGTGGTTGGGTGCTGGCACAGCTGCCCAGGGGTGTGGGGATATCACCATCCCTGGAGGTGTTCCAGAACCATGGGGATGTGGCACTGAGGGATGTGGTTATGGGCACGGTGGGATGGTTGGGGTTGGACTTGGGGAACTTGGAGGTCTTTTCCAAACTCAGTGATTCTGTGCTTCAGGGTCTTTAGGGCTGCTCTCTATAGCTAGTGTGGAAGACTGCGTTCTCTTCTTTGGGGTGTAAAGAAGTATTTCAAAAATCTGAGGTTTGTAAGCTCTGCGTGGCTTTTGGGTACAGCATTCCAGCAGGAGTTTGATGGATACAAGAATAAAATGGGTCTCTGAGGGCCCTAAGGACCCTCTGCTCTCTGGTCCAGCTGCCAAGGGGGAAAACTCCTCCGTGGCAGTGACCTGTGCCCATTGCAGGGCTGTACCCCCCTCTTCACTCCCCAAGCAGCAGCAGAGCTGTGAGCAGTGATGCTGCACGGTGCCTCAGCAGCCATGCGACCCGCAGTGATTCATGGCAGCAATATCCAGCCAGAGCCCCGTGTGTGTGTCAGGAAGGTTCATTAAACCATTACAACGTATGCAACACGCAGATCCTCCTGCAGAACGGGATGCTCACTGCTTTTTGTTGGTCCCATTGCATTTGTAACAGCGTTGACACGCTCATGCCATGCTTGGCCTGGAGAGCTGCTGCACTCCGAAGGCATCAATTCATTTTGAATTTTAATAGCCAGCTTGATGATGAAAGCCTCTGGCTATGGCTGTATTGATTTAAAAACATTCTAATGCCCCTTTCTTGAGCATTTCAAATGGTTATTGACCGTCCCTGTCAAGCTGGGTGCTGGCGGTGGGTTTTATGGCCATGACTAAGTGTGAATTTATATACACAGAGCTTCAAAAAATAAACATAAAAAATCAGAGCATGTAATCCCTCAGCAACTGATAAAAAGCTGCCTTCAGATGGAGCCTCGTGCCCCTGTTCTGGTCAGAACCTGAAGTTCT